TTTTGAAATAATTGATTGCACTTTGATTTTGTAACTAAGCATTTTCCCACCTAAAGGAGGCATCTAAAGCTGAAGAGGTCTCGCTGTAAAGACCAAAAAGGGCTTTTAGCAGGGCATCTCTCGCTCCTCTTAGCTTATCCTTGGACTGCTCCGACAATGCCGCTACGTCACCGTTCAGCAACACTAAAGCCTAAAGGTACAAAATCAATCATGATCTTATGTAAAGGCTTTTTCCTTACCTTCAGAAAACCGAATTCCGTTTCATCAGCTCCCAATCTTCGCAGCGGAGCAATCAATTCTTCTTGTATGCGAGAGTGAATTGCAGTAAGGGAGGAGGTAGGTGATGAAGTCAAGCCAAGAATTTGATCATTAGGAAGTAGAAGATACGGGAGGTGCACACTTTTTTGCACTGTGTTGAGCAGAGAGAACGACGGGAAGAATTGTCTCAGCAGAAGCATCTGAAATGAAGCGCCGAGAGCTAATTAACTGCTGACACAAATTGCAAAATTATACCTTGTCACTGAAGGGAATCTCAGGAAGTGGATGAAGCATACTAGCCCATTCAGTGATGTTGATCATCGTTTGCTGACGATTGTTCTTGTTATCGTTGTCGTCACGAAGAAGCTTGTTGATGGTCTGGCTGTTTGCTACCCTTTGCTCGATGAAGACCAGCATTTGCAATAGACGACGGGAAGCACTCGTGTCAGAAGCCTTCACGATAACATCGTCATTTTTTACTAACTGATTTCCCTTGAAACCATCAACTTGAGATGAAGAATAACTTACTGGTGTTGATATATCCTGCGGTTTTGCATTCTCAGCATAGGGCCGGAGTGGGAGACGCTTCCTATACTTAGCAGCCCCGATTCGGTCCCTTTCATTCTGTATTGCTAAAATTACACTTTCAGTCCCCGACCATCAATACCATTGCGCTGCTCCCATACCCTCAGGTCGCATTCCATCGGTTAGGCATTTTTGGAAGCGACAAAATCGACAAGCGTTTCTATGGTCTTTATCGATGTGACAGCTCTTATCAAAACGGCAGGTGTACTGTAGATTTTGGAAGACACTGCGATTATTCGATAATTAGGTAAAGCCACAACAAAATGTATTGAGCTTGTTATTACCTTCTTCTGAAGAAGCCTTTGCAACCATTGCATGCTACAGCACCGTAGTGCTTGCCAATGGCCTTGTCTCCACACACAACGCAGACATCTGAAGTGCTTTGGTTGGATGATGGTCTGCATGGATCCATTTAGAAAAGCTTCTGAAATGCACTTTCTTGTCCTTAAATTTCATTTTATCGAAATAAGCGATCTGTTCCATAGGCTGAATACAAGACTAAGAAATGCTACAAAATTTTCTTGTAAAACATCACTTGTTGCTACAAGTGTGTTCAACTCATTGACAAGTTCGTGGGCCATTAGTGATCCGCGTCACTTTTAGAAAGCTTCTTCCCTTGACTTCACATTTTTTTCCGCTTGGGCGGCAGTTTCACAGTACAACTTTGGCCTACATGGAACACATTACCATGGAAATGCAGACGCTTAGAATGACGCTAGTCGTCAAAAGTGAGTGCTGAGAAAAGTGTGGAAAATTTGATTGTCGTCAAAAAGTCGAACATTCCCTAAATCTACTGGAAACATGAGCTGTGCGAACCTCAATTCTTCGCTTGCCGATGAGAAGAAGCAAAACGAGCGTACATAGACAAAAGTTCAGCTGATAGAAGGCAGATAATAGGAAGGTGATGCACGTACGCAGGAGTTATCGGGCACGCAATGCGATAAGGCAGACCGTGGCACACGGGCAACTTATCAAAAAACACTCACTGTTCGCAGACATTTCTACACAATTCAGCTTAAACAACGCTATTGTCTTCTCTTAACAAAGCCAAAAATTTCGCGCTAATCCAGAGAAATTAGACCTGTCCACTCTAGATGGGTACCGTCTGCAGCATGGCGACCTTCAGAGAACAAACAAAAAACGAAACTGAGAAAAAAAA